GTGGGGATGGGAAATGGGGGAAGGTTGGAAAAGAGGTTTGGAAAATATTTTTCAAATTTGAGGAAAATATTTTTCAAAATATTTAAGCCAACCAAATATGGAAAAATTAAAAAATATTTTTGAAAAAATATTTTCCACATACCAAACACACCCTTTATCTTCATTATTTGAATTAGTAAAATATTGTATATACTATTAGATCTAGTTCAATTATTTCTATACATGGATAGTGTAAATATTTCATTATTTGGAAAACTGAAACAAAAAGTTGAAAAGATAGTTGTGACTTGTGAAAAAAAAAGAAAAAAACAATGCAAAAGACTATCTGAGGAAGTCCTAGTAAACACAAAACACAAGTAAAACCTCATTTAATTATGAGCACCAAAGTGATCCATACCCTTAACTTTTACGACATCTTAAAATATATATATTGGCTCAACTTCCCCACTCTTCTCACTCTACTCTTTAGTTTTCTTCCTTAGCCTTTCCCATTTGACCATTTCCTTCACCTCTCTCATCAACCATTCAATATGCCAAGAAATACACTTGGAACAAACCTTAATCTTTGTTTCACTAAACTCAAACGTCCATTGTCACTACAATCCCCCGACCTTAATAATGAACATCAACAAGATCATAGTACGCATTTTTGCAACTCTATCAAAAACTTTAACTCCCTTTACGACTTATCATTAGACTGCAATTCCAATCCCACATCGTCGTCTACCTATTCCACCGCTATCTCCGATGAATACGATTGTATTTCGGAATTAGCCACTGTTCCCGATTTAGCCACTGTTTATGCTTCCCAACGTTTCTTTTTTGCATCACCTGGCCATTCCAACTCTATCATTGACTCATCATCATCATCGTCCATGTCATCTTCTTTGGCATCAACTTCATCGTCGGTAGAACCGCCGGAATCCGACACCGTTATCGACGGCAGCATTGCAATTCCGACGTACTCGCCGGACCCGTATTTGGATTTCCGACGATCAATGCAAGAAATGGTGGAGGCGCGTGAGTTGAGTGATATAAGAGACAATTGGGATTCGTTACATGAGCTTCTCATGTGTTACCTTACATTAAATCCGAAGAGTACACACAAGTACATAATTGGTGCATTTGCCGACCTTATTGTCTGCCTCATGTCATCAAAATGTAATTGCCCAAAATCACATTTAGATCCATTGGCCGGCAGCACAAGTAAGTCGTCCTGTTCACAAAAATGCATTCTTGATTACAAGATTAATCCTAGTGAATAATTTATTTGAGTAATTCGATATTGTACAATGTACTCAGTAAAATAATCGAGATGTACTCTTTATAAAAAATTATTAGCAGTAAGCATTTTGCATAATTTTGGGCAGCGCAGTTGATGAACATGTACATTATGGTGGAGATATTAATTTGGTACCCTCCTAAACAGCTGTTGTCTTGAATAGTATGAATCCAAGCTTCTTTTATCATCCTTTTTCAGTATCTTGTCTCTGTTGGAGTATTTGTTTTTTCCACCTTTTCCAGATCCTAATGCAGAAGTCACTTGCAACGAAAGTACTTCCTCGAATATCCCTTACTATTTTTTTGACTATTTTGAATTTAAGTTTCATCACCTTCCATATAAAAAAAATTTGTATTATCAGATTACATTTACTTGTCGTAGCAAATAATCTACCTTGGTTTCAAGATTATCTATATTTTGTATAACTTGATAATTTCTTTACGCTAAGGGGTCGTTTTGAATGATGTATTTTTTCAACTTGTGTATTACTAATGCAAGTATTAGTTATATAACCTATTTGGTATTATCCTATGTATAACTAATACATAGAAAATTATGGTATTAGCAATACCCAAGGCTATTAATGCATGCATTAGCATGGTTAAAGATAAAATTATCCTTAAATTCCCTTAAAGTTAAAGAATATGGAGAGCATTTTTGTAAACAACTAATTTTCTTACAAACTATGCAATGCATTTTAATTTTTAATACACCATATCAAATAGTGGATAAGTAATAATTATTGCATTACTAATTTTTACATTACTAATACACTTTATTCGGTACTATTTTTATATACCCCACAAACTGTTGGATTTTGCATCTGTTTTCTAGAATAATTAGTTATTTAGTTTTAGAAGGAGTCTGCTAGAAGATTTAAAATTTTAATTATAGTAAGAATTTAGTAATTTAGTTGTAGGAGGAGTCTATTACTTTATTTATTTGGCTATTTAAAGCCATATGATTAATAAAATTTGAGAGACAGTTTTTCAATCTTATTTTCAACCTTTTTGCTGCTTGCATATTTTTTCTAAAATCTATAACAGTGGTATCAGAGTCTCCATTGATCTTGACGGATCTCTGAATTCGCTGAAAAATAATCAATTTCAACCACTTTTAAACCATACGCATTTTTACCCATACCGATTTTTAATCAAATTTTTAACAATGGCAAGCAGCGGTCTCTCTTTGAATACCCCACAAACTTTTACTGGTGAAAACTATCAGATTTGGTCAGTGAAAATGAAATCTTATCTTGAAGCTTATGATCTATGGGAAGTTGTAATGGAAGACAAACTTATACAACCACTTCCTGCAAATCCTACCCTTGCCCAAATCAAAGCTCATTCAGATGAAAAAATCAAAAAATACAAAGCCAAAACTATAATTCAAAATTCAGTTGCAGATTCAATCTTCTCTAAAATCATTGCATGTGAGACAATAAAAGAAACTTGGGAAACACTTAAACAGGAGTATCAAGGAAGTGAATGAGGTAGACAAAATCAGATTTTAAATTTGAAAAGAGATTTTGAATCTCTTAGAATGCAAGATGATGAGACCATCGCTAAGTATTCTGACCGAATTTCTTTAATTGTCAATAAAATCAAGTTACTTGACGAGGATTTCAAAGATGACAGGGTAATTGAAAAAATTCTTGTGATAATTTTCGAGAGATTTGAATCTAAAATTTCCTCTCTGGAAGAGTCTAAAGATCTCTCTATCATCTATGTTGCAGAATTAATAAGTGCTCATCAAGCACAAGAGCAAAGAAGGGCCTTCAGATAAGACAAAGTTACTGAGGATATTTTTTATGCGAAACACCAAAAAGAAAAAGTCGATTATCCTTATTGCAAATATTGTAAAAAAAAAAATACTTAGAAAAATTTTGTTGGTAGAGACCTGATGCATTATGTGGAAATTGCAAACAAAAAGATCATATTACAAAAGTGTGCAAGTTCAAAAATGTTCATGCACAAGCACTAATAGCAGAAGAAAGAATTGAGGATGACCTTCTTTAGACTGCAGCAACAGAAGCAAGGAGAAGTGTTGGATTTTGTATCTGTTACTGCTACTGTTTTCTAGAATAATTAGTTGTTTAGTTTTAGGAGGAGTCTGCTAAAAGATTCAGAATTTTAATTATAGTAAGAGTTTAGTAATTTAGTTGTAGGAGGAGTCTACTACTTTATTTATTTGGCTATTTAAAGCCTATGATTAATAAAATTTTAAAGATAATTTTTCAATCATATTTTCAACCTTGCTGCTGGCATATTTTTTCTAAAATCCATAACATAAACGACCCCTAATAATGCATATAACTTATAGTATTCTTTTTAATTTTTGAACTAGTCTTTTGGAAATGGCAGAAGCTTAGGTTCAGTAGGCTCTAGTAGGGTGGAGCTTCCTCTGCAGTGCTATATGCTTTCCTTTTAACTAGGCTTCTTTATGGCAGAGGACAGAGTCCCAAAAGCTTTCTGCTTTTCTTTTTCGGGTATTGTAATTTTGCAGTTGTAGCCCAACATGCAAAACCAAGAATTACCGACTAGTTAACCCTTAGTAATGAAGAAATTTTTCTTTCGACCTACTTTTATATTAAATGAGTCTCAGTAAGTCATACTATTAACTACAAAATGGAGTAACTAAAATTAAATATAAGATGGATTAGAAGGAGTATCTCATACTTGTGTTAGTTGCTACACCAATAAATGAAAGATGTGTTCTTCCTACAGATTTATCACTTAATCACAGTTAAAACTATGTATTTTTACCTTTAATTTACAATTATAAAGGTACAATATATTAATCTAACAAGGTAGAATGCATTATCGCTTTTAATTACTCCCTCCATTCACTTTTACTTGGCACGTTTTGATTTTTCACGCCCTTCAAGAAATAATAAATGAAGTGTAAATTTTATCATGATACTCATATTAATTTATGTATATTTTATTGAATTTGAGAAAATAATTTGAAATGAGTAATAAATTAAAAAAATTGCATTCTCTTGATATGCGTAAAGTAATAAATAAAAATAAAATTTTATTTTTAATATACATGTCAATTAAAAGTGAACGGATAGAGTATATAAGGTTAGTAACATGTAACCCCCTACAGAACTTGAAACTAGGAGCTATCTAGCTGGTTACACCTTAAACGGTCAATTAGTCTGTTGTGCTTCTTGAGATGTGTCACTTTTACAAAGAACTTAATTTCGAGATTCTAATATTTCTTCCTTTTCTTTTACGTTTCTTCTTCTTCTTTTCTTTTGTCGTGGAGTAAAGTGTTACTCCTATAAAAAGTCACATTTCTATTAAGGGATCATTTGGTTATACATGCTAGTTATGAATAATATTGCATAAGATTATTTATGCCGTAACTAATAATACAGAAATGGTTACGCGATGACTAAGAATAATGTAAGGATTGTTATGTGAAAATATTATTCTTATTCATGTAATGTTAATACATACATTCTTATCTCATAGTGTAATTAAATAACAAATTCTCGCACAACTTAGATTATTAGCAACGTGAAATTTAATGAGGTCAACAATGCTATATTAAGTTTTGCAGCATTATTTGGCGTGACCAATTAAATATTGTATATATTATGAATTATATTCTGAAATCATTTTTGTTAATAAAGGAAAACAAACGATAAAGAAACCACATCGTCTAGTCTAGGGATAATAAACCAGTACAGCACATCAGGATGGCAACAAAACCTGTGGGCACACAATTTCTTTTAGAGTTCAAAATTATCTTTATCCGTTGAAGTTTCAAAAGAAAAGAAAATCATTGAAGTTTGTCTCTGGTGCAGTGATATATAATACTTAATTTGCTATCTACAACCGTACTATATATAAATACAGTGATTATTCTGACACCATGTTATATTAACCAGATGATTGCTTCATCAGTAATTTTTATATATGCCAAAACGGTGATAAATATATGGCATGCTTTGTTTCACAGAAACTTCATGCAAGCAAATATATATATGATTACAGATGAAGCCAAACTACCTTTGAATAAACTACTTGCAGCTTTAAGACAAAAGCAGTAAATCTTTGTTTCGTTTTTCACTTTGATTTTTGCTGTTTGGGTGAAAACATTAAATAACACTGTTGCTCAGGATTCTGTCATGAGAATATATATGAGATACATCAGTAAAATGCATGTGGTATTTTAATAGTTTATTTCAGAGATGCCAATTTTGCCAGTGAAACATGACTTGGTTTCTGAACACAAGTTGGGTTATAATTGGTTTATAATTCCAATTATTAAATTGGCTTGGTGTTAGAACAGCAAGTCTCATGTGCTTCTTTTCTTTTTTTTACATTTCTTATTTTCTTCCCTCTTCTGTCTGTTATTTTATTTTCTCCTTTGTATCTTTCGAAAGAGACTACCAGAAAAATTAAAAAATGAAGCTTAGTCTTATTTGACGAAATAAATCTAATTTAATACTATAAACAAGAAATTGGTTACAAAAAAGGGGGGGAAAGACTCAAGCATGCTAAATACTTTCTTTTTAGATTCCCACTTTTTGTTCAATGATAGACCAAATAAAGTACACATCACGGCCATAATCCTTCTGGCAAGTTTCAGCGATTCATCAAATCACCTTTTAGGATTTTATTATGAAACAAACATAGAAAAGGATGATTTTGTTCCATTGCTATGGCAAAGAGGTAAAAAGGACTGATGATCTCGTCATAAGAAATTACGTTTAGAAACAAAAATGATAACTTCACTATTTATGTACGACTATATGTATGATTTCATGCAAAATAGTAGGATTAAGTGAAATAAAAAATAGGTGTATCAGTATTAACACTACTTAAATAAGAATTGCGTAAAATCAAAGTCACTTTGCATTATAGATTTTTTTTTCAAACTAAAAACTTGACCAATGTGTACTGATCAGTAATGCTAATTCTGGAATCTAATATTAGAATATCGCATCAAATCCATGTATAAATTGCCGCATGTTTGATTCATCAACAGAACCCCTTAATGTATATGTGCAACAAAATAGAATCTGTTTGAATGTAAAATTGGTCTTTCTTTTTAACCTGCCATGAATATATATATATATCTACAATTAAGCCGGAATTTATAGGACAAAATGTAGTAAAAAACTACATTAAGATTCAAAGTTTTTTTTTTCAAAAGAAGATCATAGGGCACTAGAACAGATATGTCCACCCCCTAGTGTTTTCAGTGGAAACTCTCCGCTCATGGACCAAAAGTGTAAATTTAGTTTCAAATCAAGTATATATAAACATTCGCATTATTATTGTAGAGAGTGAGAAAATTCTTTCCGAGATTGAACATTGTATGGGCCAAAAATTATCTTTGATATGATTAAAGCGAATCAGCATTAAGAGGGCATTCATGAGCTGCCATGTGTCACCGGTATGACTTTGACAAAGGCATGCCCAAGGTCGAAGTGGTCCCTTAAGATATGAAGGAGGAGCCGATGAGTTATTCAAGGTCGAGAAGTCATCGAAGATCAAGGTCCAGATCGAGCACTCACTGTAGACAGAGTAAATAACGGTTACTATTAGGGTGTTTATGTATATGTTCCCAGTAAATAGAAAAAAACATAACGATATGGAACATAAGATATTCACTTGTAAAAAAACACATTGACTCTCTATAGAATCAGGCATTATTGCAGACCTACAATATATACTTTTTTCTTAAGATTCTTGTTTAACTTCTTCACTCGATCCAAGAACAATCTAAACATTTGAAGGCTCATCAATCATTCATCATTGTCAGAAAAAACATCCACATATCTCACCCTTTTTAGGATGATTCACATGTTCTTATTTACTTAAATGCTATTTATTGTTATTTAATATTATCCCGTCATTGAATACTGCTAGTGTTGTCAACATTTATTGCTACTTGGATAATATACATATTATCTTACTACAATATTAATATTGGCTAAGATTGACTCTATTTTATTAAATCAAATTGTCTAAGCCCAGATTTAAATTTTGGGTCAAACAAACATAACAGAAGAGTTCTACATATCACAAGAATTTAGTACAGCAACCATGAGAACACCAGATATCTCGAAATAAAATGCCAATTAAGAAAAAACAACTCACTTTCAATGAAAAGCGCGTCATTTCAACTGACATCAAAACACCAAATCCTCCTACGGACGATACTGGTAACAAACTAAAATTAAGCCTTGTTGCACCAAAAGTTACTAGAAGAAACAATCTACAAAATATACACAGACGAAAGAAGATAAAAGAAACACTACATCGTCAATTCCTAATGCAGCTTCAGCGGGTCCTCTACAGTTGAGCTGATGAAAATTTGAGAATAGGATAAGAGTTAGATGATTAACCTTGATGCCATTAATAAGACCATAGTAATATTGAAGGAGGTTAAAGACAGAAAAATAAGTATGTATCAATAAAAAAAAAAGAGAAGACGATCCAGCATTAAATAATCTAACTACATACAGCAGACGAAAAGTGAAACCTATAAACAGGGTAACAATGAGAACAAAACTCAAACATCAAATACATAGATGTTACTTAATGTAAAGCAGAAGCTTCACTGAATTATAGTTAAACTTACTAGAGACTAATTTTTAGAAACAAATATCACTTTCAATCTTCTTTTGCATCTTTCTCAACAAACATATTCTTTGGGTACTTCATTGACACCAAACTTAGAATCATCTGAGTAGGGATGCACACTAGCCAAATAGGTGCACAAGCTAGTAAATTTTGACTTGAGTTTGAGTTAAGCCCAATGATTTAGATGGCGCAGCAAGATTACAACACCATCTAGTTAATCCTTGCATTGGTACTTGTTCCAATCCTAACCAGCTGTATTGACAGTCTCAAGTAACCATGAAAAAAGGAAGCAAATCACATTTGAAGTCATCGATTTTTTACTTGTGTTCCTTCCTTCTCCAAACTTCCCAGTTCTCGCTTGTTCTCCTACCCTACTACTACTGCAGCACCACAAATATTCATTTAAACCAACCTTATCACTATCTCATGCATGAATTTTGTCAAAATGACCAATGGCAAATCTAAAACTTCTGAACTCTTCTACTCTGACACTGTTCCACTATTTCCCCGGTATGAAATTTCAAATGGAAGGACGATCCTAAAATTACTTTGGACAAA